GGTCGATGCCCGAGCGGTTAATGGGGACGGACTGTAAATTCGTTGGCAATATGTCTACGCTGGTTCAAATCCAGCTCGGCCCAATAGTTTGCCGATCCACCATGAAATGATATAACCGATTTGTTGTTCTCCAGAAATGTCCGATGTGCTCTGATACGGAAGAATTAAAATATGATAAATCCCTAGCGCTTTTTTTTTCCGCGTTGTATTACGTATGTATTCCACAAATATAATTTTGGATCTTGTCTTGCTAATGATCTATACTCATATCAGGATATGGAAGTATAAAGTCTAAGGAAAGGATTAAAGTAAATAAAAAAGACTCTTTTTTATTTTTTTCATTGATTCATTTTTCAATCGATTCGGCAATAAGGAACGGATTACGAGTAATCTGTGTCGGTCTGGCTAAAGTATATATCAGATCCATATAAATATCAATATATAAATAAGATAAGTCACGCCTCTGTGACTTACAGCTACAGCACAACGATTCGAATTAAAAGGGTTTGAATAAAATCATGTATGCTATACGCTTTTTCCCTGGGATTGTAGTTCAATTGGTCAGAGCACCGCCCTGTCAAGGCGGAAGCTGCGGGTTCGAGCCCCGTCAGTCCCGATAGATACAAATCCAATAAAATAATAATAAAATACATACATCAATTCTCGTGTCTCAAAGGGAATAAAAATACAAGCATAATCTCATTCCTTACAGGGGATCCCAGTTTCTCTTTTTTTTTTTAAGAGGTAAAGGTTCTGACGAAGAAAAGAAAGAACCCTACAAAAATAAAACAAATTATTGATTGCATCGGAAATAATATTTTTGAATTTTATTTGGTATGGATATAAACTCTTCCTATGTTATACTATTCAATTCTCGACGATGAATTGATTTGATAGCTCAGATATTGTTATTCATGATATTGATCCGATTTGATATCATCGAGATTTTATATCATTGAATTTACCGACGAAAGATTTATCATCTTTATGGGATCAAATCCCGAGTTATTTATTGGAAATTAAAGAGAAATAAAACATAGAGAAGATTATGGAAGTAAATATTCTCGCATTTATTGCTACTGCACTGTTCATTTTAGTTCCTACTGCCTTTTTACTTATAATTTATGTAAAAACGATAAGTCAAAGTGATTAATTTTACTAAATCATGACTTCTTTATTCTTATCACATTCTTTATTCTTATCACAACGGTTGAATAAAAAAATGAAAAAGGATTTGATTTAAATTTACGGTCTTCTTAGTTTTAAATAAGACGGTCGGACTCGAATCAGCAGAATTCTATGAAAGAAATCCGGATAGTCCGGATAGTTTGGTAGAAAGAAATCAATTTGATTTCTTTCTACCATACTATCTATCTCACAGTGTCCCAATTTTTTTATTTGTTTAATCCATTGGATTTGTATTGGTTCCACTGAAATAATCAAAAAGCAACTCTTATTCTTTCGCTTCGAATTAACAGATTTCTTTTTTTTTCAATACACCAATTCCCGGTATCATATCATATATAAAAAAAAAAGAAAGTAATCTTTTTAGCATTTCGAAGACGTAATTGATTAAATAGTTTTATTAAATAGTTGACAGATCATCCCGAGGTTCTCATAGAACCTTTTTCGTATTTCGAAAAGACTATAGTGATAAACCCCACAATCTATTTTTAAGGTGTGAACCATGTGATATGAAATGAGTTCAATCAAGGAGAAATCCAATTTCGAGCCTAAAAGAAAAATAATAAAAGAAAACAAGCGCTAAGGTAAATATGTAATAGGGTATGGTGGTATTCACCTAAGGGAACGCCTATATCTTAGTATGTCTAATCTCGCCCAACCCTTTATGTCTATTTTTTTTTTTTTGTTTCCTATAGACATTGTATTGTGGGTCTACTTAATAACTGATAACAGAAGAACTAATAACAGAACTATTTTTTTTTATATCTTTTTCAAAAAAAAAAATAGAGTAGGGGGTCCGCCATTCCCGATTTTTCATATAATATAATTTTGGTAAGAGTCCGTTGATCGAAATAGAAATTTGAGGAACAATTCGGAAGGAATAAAATTTTATTTCCTATTATTTGTATTCCCTTGCCTTTCAAAATACAAACATGGGAATAATTCAAATATTTGTTTGATTTAAAGAGTATTTTATATTTCTATATTCTCCATAGAATACACACTAGAGAATACAATAGAATTCCAAAATGCAGATATATTTAAATTTTATTAAGTATTTAATTAAATACTTTTTATTTAATTCATAAATTAAAAAAAGTTCAGAACCTAGTTATAAAACAATTGATACACTTTGATCCCTTAACTCAATTTGTAGTACCGTTAGAGTCCACTTCTTCCCCATACTACGAGGGAAAGGGAAAATGTAAAAACTACCATTAAAGCAGCCCAAGCAAGATTCAAATTCTGGGTTTTCGAATTGAGAGAGATATTGAGAGAGATCAAGAATTCTCGCTATTTCTTAGATTCATGGACCCAATTCAATTCAGCGGGATCTTTCAGTCACATTTTTTTCCATCAAGAAAGTTTTATAAAACTCTTGGACTCCCGAATTTGGAGTATCCTACTTTCACGCAATTCACAGGGTTCAACAAGCAATCGATATTTCACGATCAAGGATGTAGTACTCTTTGTAGTAGCGGTTCTTATATATCGTATTAACAATCGAAAGATGGTCGAAAGAAAAAATATCTATTTGACAGGGCTTCTTCCTATACCTATGAATTCCATTGAACCCAGAAATGATACATTGGAAGAATCTTTTGAGTCTTCCAATATCAATACGTTGATTGTTCCGCTCCTGTATCTTCCAAAAGGAAAAAAGATCTCTGAGAGCTCTTTCCTGGATCCGAAAGAGAGTATTCGGGTTCTCCCAATAACTAAAAAGTGTATCATGCCTGAATCTAACTGGGGTTCGCGGTGGTGGAGGAACTGGATCGTAAAAAAGAGGGATTCTAGTTGTAAGATATCTAATAAGATATCTAATGAAACCATCACTGGAATTGAGATCTCATTCAAAGAGAAAGATATCAAATATCTGGAGTTTCTTTTTGTATATTATATGGATATGGATGATCCGATCCGCAAGGACCATGATTGGGAATTGTTTGATCGTCTTTCTCCGAGGAAGAGGCGAAACATAATCAACTTGAATTCGGGACAGCTATTCGAAATCTTAGTGAAAGACTGGATTTATTATCTCATGTTTGCTTTTCGTGAAAAAATACCAATTGAAGTGGAGGGTTTCTTCAAACAAGAAGGGGCTGGGTCAACTATTCAATCAAATGATATTGAGCATGTTTCCCATCTCTTCTTGAGAAACAAGCGGGCTATTTCTTTGCAAAATTGTGCCCAATTTCATATGTGGCAATTCCGCCAAGATCTCTTCGTTAGTTGGGGGAAGAATCCGCACGAATCGGATTTTTTGAGGAACCTATCGAGAGCGAATTGGATTTGGTTAGACAATGTGTGGTTGGTAAACAAGGATCGGTTTTTTAGCAAGGTACGGAATGTATCATCAAATATTCAATATGATTCTACGAGATCTAGTTTCATTCAAGTAACGGATTCTATCCAATTGAAAGGATCTTCTGATCAATCCAGGGATCATTTCGATTCCATTAGGAATGAGGATTCGGAATATCACACATTGATCAATCAAAGAGAGATTCAACAACTAAAAGAAAGATTGATTCTTTGTTGGGATTCTTCCTTTCTTCAAACGGAACGAACAAAGATAGAATCAGAGCGATTCCCTAAATTCCTTTCTGGATTTTCCTCAATGTGCCGACTATTCATGGAACGTGAGAAGCAGATGAATAATCATTCCTAATGGAATCGAAATGATCCCTGGATTGATCAGAAATCGAAGAATTATCATCTGCTTCCGGAAGAAATCGAAGAATTTCTTGGGAATCCTACAAGAGTGAATCGTTCTTTTTTCTCTGACAGATGGTCAGAACTTCATCTGGGTTCGAATCCTACTGAGAGGTCCACTAGAGATCAGAAATTGTTGAAGAAAGAACAAGATGTTTCTTTTGTTCTTTCCAGGCGATCGAAAAATAAAGAAATAGTTAATATATTCAAGATAATTATGTATTTACAAAATACCGTCTCAATTCATCCTATTTCATCAGATCCGGGATGTGATATGGTTCCGAAGGATGAACTGTCCCGTTCCAATAAGATTTTATTCTTGAACAAAAATCCGTTTTTTGGTTTATTTCATCTATTCCATGACCGGAACATGGGGGGATACACGTTACACCACGATTTTGAATCACAAGAGAGATTTCAAGAAATGGCAGATCTATTCACTCTATCAATAACCGAGCCGGATCTGATGTATCATAAGGGATTTGCCCTTTCTATTGATTCCTCCGGATTGGATCAAAAACAATTCTTGAATGAGGTATTCAACTCCAGGGATGAATCGAAAAATAAATCTTTATTGGTTCTACCCCCTCTTTGTTATGAAGAGAATGAATCTTTTTATCGAAGGATCATCAAAAAATGGGTCCGGACCTCTTGCGGGAATGATTTGGAAGATCCAAAACCAAAAATAGTGGTATTTGCTAGCAACAACATAATGGAGGCAGTCAATCAATATAGATTGATCCGAAATCTGATTCAAATCCAATATAGCACCTATGGGTACATAAGAAATGTATTGAATCGATTCGATCGCAACTTCGAATATGGAATTAAAAGGTATCAAATAGGAAATGATACTCTGAATCATAGAACTATAATGAAATACACGATCAACCAACATTTATCAAATTTGAAAAAGAGTCAGAAGAAATGGTTCGATCCTCTTATTTTGATTTCTCGAACTGAGAGATCCATGAATCGGGATCCTAATGCATATAGATACAAATGGTCCAATGGGAGCAAGAATTTCCAGGAACATTTGGAACATTTCATTTCTGAGCAGAATAGCCGTTTTCAAGTAGTGTTCGATCGATTACGTAATAGCCGTTTTCAAGTAGTGTTCAATCGATTACGTATTAATCAATATTCGATTGATTGGTCTGAGGTTATCGACAAAAAAGATTTGTCTAAGTCACTTTGTTTCTTTTTGTCCAAGTTACGTCTATTTTTGGCCAAGTTTCTTCTCTTTTTGTCTAAGTCACTTCCTTTTTTCTTTGTGAGTTTCAGGAGTATCCCCATTCATAGGTCCGAGATCCACATCTATGAATTGAAAGGTCCGAATGATCCACTCTGTAATCAGTTGTTAGAATCAATAGGTCTTCAAATCGTTCATTTGAAAAAATGGAAACCCTTCTTATTGGATGACCATGATATTTCCCAAAAATCGAAATTCTTGATCAATGGAGGAACAATATCACCATTTTTGTTCAATAAGATACCAAAGTGGATGATTGACTCATTCCATACTAGAAAGAATCGCAGGAAATCTTTTGATAACACGGATTCCTATTTCTCAATGATAGCCCACGATCAAGCCAATTGGCTGAATCCCGTGAAACCATTTCATAGAAGTTCATTGATATCCTCTTTTTATAAAGCAAATCGACTTCGATTCTTGAATAATCGATATCACTTCTGCTTCTATTGTAACAAAAGATTCCCTTTTTATGTGGAAAAGGCCTGTATCAATAATTATGATTTTACGTATGGACAATTCCTCACTATCTTGTTCATTCGCAACAAAATATTTTCTTTGTGCGGCGTTAAAAAAAAACATGTTTTTTTGGAGAGAGATACTATTTCACCAATCGAGTCGCAGGTATCTAACATATTGATACCTAACGATTTTCCGCAAAGTGGTGACGAAGGGTATAACTTATACAAATCTTTCCGTTTTCCAATTCGATCCGATCCATTCGTTCGTAGAGCTATTTACTCGATCGCAGACATTTCTGGAACACCTCTAACAGAGGGACAAATAGTCAATTTTGACAGAACTTATTGTCAACCTCTTTCAGATATGAATCTACCTGATTCAGAAGGGAAGAACTTGCATCAGTATCTCAATTTCAATTCAAACATGGGTTTGATTCACACTCCATGTTCTGAGAAATATTTACCATCCGAAAAGAGGAAAAAACAGAGTCCTTGTCTAAAAAAAATGCCTTGAGAAAGGGCAGATGTATAGAACCTTTCAACGAGATAGTGCTTTTTCAACTCTCTCCAAAGGGAATCTATTCCAAACATATATACCATGGTTCCTTACTTCGACAGGGTACAAATATCTAAATCTCATATTTTTAGATACTTTTTCATACCTATCATCGAAATAATGAGTCACCATTGATATCGACACATTTGGGATCGCTAAATGTTAGGGAGTTCCTCTATTCAATCCTTTTCCTTCTTCTTGTTGCTGGATATCTCGTTCATACACATCCTTTCTTTGTTTCCCGAGCCTATAGTGAGTTACAGATAGAATTCGAAAAGGTCAAATCTTTGATGATTCCATCATACACGATTGAGTTGCGAAAACTTCTAGATAGGTATCCTACATCTGAACTGAATGCTTTCTGGTTAAAGAATTTCTTTCTAGTTGCTCTGGAACAATTAGAAGATTCTCTAGAAGAAATACGGGGTTCTGCTTCTGGCGGCAACATGCTATGGGGTGGTGGTCCCGCTTGTGGGGTCAAGTCAATACGTTCTAAGAAGAAATATTGGAATCTCATCGATCTCATAAGTATCATACCAAATCCCATCAATCGAATCGCTTTTTCGAGAAATACGAGACATCTAAGTCATACAAGTAAAGCGATCTATTCCTTGATAAGAAAAAGAAAAAACGTGAATGGTGATTGGATTGATGATAAAATAGAATCTTAGGTCTCGAACAGCGATTCGATTGATGATAAAGAAAGAGAATTCTTGTTTCAGTTCTCTACCTTAACGACAGAAAAAAGGATTGATCAAATTATATTGAGTCTGACTCATAGTGATCATTTATCAAAGAATAACTTTGGTTATCAAATGATTGAACAACCGGGAGCAGTTTACTTATGATACTTAGTTGACATTCATAAAAAGTATCTAATGAATTATGAGTTCAATACATCCTGTTTAGCATAAAGACGGATATTCCTTGCTCATTATCAGACAATCACTTATTCACAAACCCCGTGTGGGGCTAATAGTTTTCATTTCCCATCTCATGGGAAACCCTTTTCGCTCCGCTTAGCCCTACCCCCCCCTAGGGGTATTTTAGTGATAGGTTCTATAGGAACTGGACGATCCTATTTGGTCAAATACCTAGCGACAAACTCCTATCTTCCTTTCATTATAGTATTTCTGAACAAGTTCCTGGATAACAAGCCTAAGGGTTTTCTTATTGATGATAGTGACGATAGTAATGATAGTGACGATAGTGATGATAGTGACGATATCGACCGTGACCCTGATACGGAGCTGGATCTTCTAACTATGATGAATGCGCTAACTATGGATATGATTCCGGAAATAGACCGATTTTATATCCCCCTTCAATTCGAATTAGCAAAAGCAATGTCTCCTTGCATAATATGGATTCCAAACATTCATGATCTGGATGTGAATGAGTCGAATTACTTATCCCTCGGTCTATTAATGAACTATCTCTCCGGGGATTGTGAAAGATGTTCCACTAGAAATATTCTTGTTATTGCTTCGACTCACATTCCCCAAAAAGTAGATCCCGCTCTAATAGCTCCGAATAAATTAAATACATGCATTAAGATACGAAGGCTTCTTATTCCACAACAACGAAAGCACCTTTTCACTCTTTCATATACTAGGGGATTTCACTTGGAAAAGAAGATGTTCCATACTAATGGATTCGGGTCCATAACTATGGGTTCCAATGTACGAGATCTTGTAGCACTTACCAACGAGGCCCTATCGATTAGTATTATCCAAAAGAAATCCATTATAGACACTAATATAATTAGATCTGCTCTTCATAGACAAACTTGGGATTTACGATCCCAGTTAAGATCGGTTCAGGATCATGGGATCCTTTTCTATCAGATAGGAAGGGCTGTTTCACAAAATGTACTTCTAAGTAATTGCTCCATAGATCCTATATCTATCTATATGAAGAAGAAATCATGTAACGAGGGGGATTCTTATTTGTACAAATGGTATTTCGAACTTGGAACGAGCATGAAGAAATTAACGATACTTCTTTATCTTTTGAGTTGTTCTGCCGGATCGGTCGCTCAAGACCTTTGGTCTCTACCTGGACCTAAAGAAAAAAATGGGATCACTTCTTATGGACTCGTTGAGAATGATTCTGATCTAGTTCATGGCCTATTAGAAGTAGAAGGCGCTCTGATGGGATCCTCGCGGACAGAAAAAGATTGCAGTCAGTTTGATAATGATCGAGTGACATTGCTTCTTCGGCCCGAACCAAGGAATCCCTTAAATATGATTCAAAATGGATCTTGTTCTATCGTTGATCAGAGATTTCTCTATGAAAAATATGAATCGGAGTTTGAAGAAGGGGAAGGAGTCCTCGACCCGCAACAGATAGAGGAGGATTTATTCAATCACATAGTTTGGGCTCCTAGAACATGGCGCCCTTGGGGCTTTCTATTTGATTGTATCGAAAGGCCAAATGAATTGGGATTTCCCTATTGGGCCGGGTCATTTCGGGGCAAGCAGATCATTTATGATGAAGAGGATGAGCTTCAAGAGAATGATTCGGAGTTCTTGCAGGGTGGAACCCTGCAGTACCAGACACGAGATAGATCTTGCAAAGAACAAGGTTTTTTTCGAATAAGCCAATTCATTTGGGACCCTGCGGATCCACTCTTTTTCCTATTCAAAGATCAGCCTTTTGTCTCTGTGTTTTCACATCGAGAATTCTTTGCAGATGAAGAGATGTCAAGGGGGCTTCTTACTTCCCAAACAGATCTTCCTACATCTATATATAAACGCTGGTTTATCAAAAATACGCAAGAAAAGCATTTCGAATTGTTGATTCATCGCCAGAGATGGCTTAGAACCAATAGTTCATTATCTAATGGATTTTTCCGTTCTAATACTCTATCCGAGAGTTATCAATATTTATCAAATCTGTTCCTATCTAACGGAACGCTATTGGATCAAATGACAAAGACATTGTTAAGAAAAAGATGGCTTTTCCCGGATGAAATGGTTATTGCTATCTGCTCCAATAACGAATCATTGGTTTAACTGAATAACGAAATAAAATAGATAGACCTTGCTTTCTCTCCGTCTCAGGTCTATGGATCTTCTCAATTGAAAGATCCCCTATATCGATAATACACATTCCAGTTGACCGAGCCTAATTCTAATTATTTTGTTCCAAAGCAAAGATATCCACGGGGCGATTTGTCCTATTCAGATATTCAAGACCAAGAAGTACTGAATTCTCTTTCTTTTCGGATAGACCCTGAAGGGAGAAGGAAGGTTGGAATGCCAACAGGCATCTATTATTGAATTCACCCGACCCGAGAGTATAGTACCCATTTTGGGAACGTTCGGTGTCAAAGTCATTCATTGAATGGGTAAGTCGTCAATCCCTAAAACGGACTATGTAATGTACTTTATCCGCCGGTATGGGTGGGCATTTTACCAGAGGTTTCTATTGTATCAATCTACCCCTGTGATTCTTGTTGAAGCATATACTCGGGGGGGGTGCAGGGCGAACGATTTCAAAATGGACTCCCCATTCATTAGATAGAGAAGATCACCAAGATTTCGTGATCCGCTGCCAAACTTATTCCAATTCAATAAGAGATCTCAATATTATGCCTTGAAGAGGACTCGAACCTCCACGCTCTTTAGCACGAGATTTTGAGTCTCGCGTGTCTACCATTTCACCACCAAGGCATCTTGAAAGTGAATCGTATTCCATGAATATGATATCTATCTAGTGTGATGTATGGAATATATGACAGGGGTGGAGTGTTAGAGTATTTTTATTGATAGGTCATGTCATATAGGCCCGAGTCGGACATCCAATCGGTTCGACTTGAATTATCCGGAGGATACCTTATTATATATATTCTATCAAAAAGATGGACAATCAAACCTATTTCTCGATTCAATAGAAGCCAAAAGAAAAAGAGGTGAATAGGGTCCCAAATAATGAGAGATAGGTAAAAAGCAGGTCCGATTACGTCTAATCCTAAATGGAATGGAACGACGCAGGGATCTATATGTAAACATAGTATATATTTAGATGCGCTCGAATGACCCCCTCGCATAAGGAGAATGTATATAACCCTATTCCGGTCTGGTCCGGTATGGAATGAACTTATAATCATGGAATCGACTCGATCATCAGATTATATATTATAAGTTCATAACCCTAGCCCATTCCCATTTTGGGCGGAACAGATCTACTAATTCTTTGATTCCAGTTAGTAAGATAATAGGGATCTTGAACTAAGAAATAGATTCTAGAAGCTAAAAAAGGGTATCCTGAGCAATTTCAATAATCGGGTTCATTGATATTCCCGGTATAGTAGATGCTATCACACATACAATCATACTCAATTCGATGGAATTGTTTGATCTTAAAGGGGACCTTCTATAATTTCGCACGTGCAAAATTGAAAAGTTGCATTAAGTGGGAATCGAACAGGAACACAGTTAGTGATCGGATAAGATACCGCTGGACTATAATGCTGGTTCAGTTAAATAATGAACGGTTATTATACATAACCTTTCGACTGAACTGACCAAGTGGCATTAATGTCTCTGTAAATATAGACACTTGTAGGCTGAATGCAATAGGACGAAAACGAAAATTCAAAGTATAGAAATCATCCTTCATTTCTCTAATGCATGAGAGTAGTGTAGGAACCATAAACTTGTAAACTACTATCGAAATATACGTTTGTTGTGCTTGTGGAAATCACATCAGGGTTTTCCAAAGTATCCTGAAAGGATTCGCTGTTCATTCCATTTGCATCCAATATACTTAAATTGGTGGGGGCGAATCGAATCTAAAGGTTAGTGTGGTAACACACGATTTGGAGGTTTTACGTGCATATCCATCAGTTATTTCTTTGTCCAAGTTGTGCAACATTATCCCCAACAATTCAAGATTTCCAACAGTGAGACTCACAATAGAAGAAATGTAACAATGCAAGGTCATATTCTAGATGTTTGGTCCTCTTCGTTGGCGAACATGTTAGGATTTGTTAGGAGTCTTGTTTTGGAGTGGAAGAGAATAGATGATTTTGGAAAGAGTTTCCCTTGTTTGGGAATTGAGGGAAAGAGAGAGAAAGGCTTTGGAGGTTTTCTAGAGCCCCATAGAACCACCTACATGCCAATTTTCATGGTTCCCCAAATGAGGGTTTTTACGAAGCCAAACTTGTCAAAATACCTAAATGACTTTAATAACCTGAATAATAAAAAAATATTTTCATTGTTAATTACATTTTTAAATGAATAATCAAAAAATATTATTGCATTATCATTATTTTTACCTCCTCTTATTTAATTTCACACTCTTAAACAAATGAGATGTTTTCCTTCATTTCTCTTTCTCTTCTCCCGTCTTTACCCTTTGATCTTTCTCAATCTCTTTCACTCATAACTAAGCCTTAGACTTTATTTCTTTTGTAGTTAGTTTTTATTGTTGCATTTCCTTTTCACACAAAAATTTAATCTTTCCATTTTTAACTAAAAAATTCTAAAGAAATTATCTCAAATCACATTGTTCATAGAAAATAAATTAATATCCCTCAAATTAAAAAGTATTAAATTAATATCATAATATTGTTCACACTAATTATCATAATATCATTCAAGATAATCAAAATAATTTATGATAATTTTTAAGTCATGATAAAAATAAGGAAAAATAAAAACCCTTAAACTTTATGCCTTTTGCAAGTAGGTATCATGAACTATTTTTTATAATTACCCCTTAAACTTTACCAGTTGATGAAATTGATCAGTGTATGAATATATTGTTAAATTACTCATAAATAACAAGGAAATTGCTACAATCAAACTCACAATAATAACAATGCAAGAATCTACGTTACTCAACATTAATATACAGAGGAAGCCCCATGAAAATTTGAAATTGAATAAAAAGAAAAATAAGTAAATTATAGAGTAAAAATGATTAATATAGTAATATTGTTATATATAAAAAATAAAAAATAAAATAAACAGTGGAATGAGTTAAAAAATTTGATTGCTTTTTAACTTAAACATTATCTTTATGTAAAGACAAATTTTACCGATAGTTAAAGTTGAAGGTGTAATTAGGAAGAAAAATTACTTCACGGGGTCTATATGCAAAATACATTAAGGTATTTTTATAGTGTTTTCCCTTAAAAATATGTTTATCATAAAATAAAGAATGTCTTTCATCTACGAGTAAAAACTATTTCATTTCAAGATATGTGACTATCCATACAACTCTTAAGAATTTAACACATGTACTCCCTATATATTATTAAATAGATCATTAGTAATAAAAGAGTTTAATTAAATTTAAAATTTTATTATAGCATGGATTAAGATCAACTCTACAGAATAAAAATCACCCATATATAAAAATTAAAAGAGTAGAGGCTTTTAAACCAATATCTCATAAATAAAATAAAAAGTTAAACACCAATAACCTCTTTCAATCAAGTTACATTTTATACTCATGGTTTGGTCAACCCAATTTAATAAAATTTCAAGTTCTTTTAGTACAGAAGTTTTAGTGTAAAAAAATAAGACTGAATATTCATTTTAATCCCTCATGTTTAATCCCTCATGTTTTTCAATCTTATGAAGTTAGTCCATACTAAATTTAAATTGTCAATTTAATCTCCAATATCCGTCACTTAATGTTAAAGCTCCAGTCTACGTGGACCATTAACTGCTGACTTGACGAGACGTTTTCTATCCTTGTTAACATGTCTCACATGTCCCTAGTTGACATGTAACTTTTTTTTTAAAACAACCTTGTTTTGTGTTTAAAATTTTTTAACAAAAAATAACGTCGTTTTGAGTTTCTTCCTCCAACCCTATATCTCTTCCATTATCCCCAAATCTAACTTATTCTCTCAAACCAATCAAATTAGAACTGCTATCTGTCTTTTTTGAGACTGTGGATCCTCTCTAGTAATGGAGAGATTAATACAAATGTAGGATTGTGACATTTCACAAAGTTATAATTAAGGGTCAAAATTTAAAATGATTTTTTTAATTTTAAATAATTTTTTTTTTGAAAATGTTTCTAATCCCTTTAATTATAACTTTTTTATGAAGTGTTCCAATCTTACATTGGTATTGACATCTTTAAAGAGGATCCACACTCTTCTTTTGAAAGGAATTAGATCACTTGTCCCCAACCAAGTTCTCATTAACCCATTCATTAAAATGATCCAACACCCCACCTCTACCTTTGCTTCTATCTTGACCAATCTAAAATAATTTGTTCCACTCAAAATTTTCAAACCTAGAAACAAACTTCTAATAACAACACAGAACAAACCGCACCAAAAAAACTAGTTTTTTTTAAAATTATATAGGATGAATGAACAATGTAATAAAAAGAAGGGTGGAAAATCCATATCTTTCAACGACCCACTTCCTGATTTGAGACAAAATCTTCAGAAATTATCATAAATCACTGGGAAAAAATCTAACTTGGGATGATATACGTTAAAGATTGGTGGCCTCAATTTTCAACGAAGCAATCCCCACCAAAGAGCCTAAAAAACACAACTTTACCTTAAACATTAAATTCTACAAACAAAAATAAATATGACAATGTTTGAATCCAATCCACTCCACTTAAAACTTGCGTAGCGTGAAGGTTCAAGGTAGTGTTTAAGGAAGAAATAAGAAATAAATATTTACTAGAAGAGGTTGGTGAAGAGGTTACTTAGCAGGCACACGCCTTAACCACTCGGCCAAAGCGACAAGATGTTATAGCATTCGCAATCATTCTATATATAGATATCACGGTACACTTATGAACTTTACATTGCTGTTCGCTGTGCAGTTATAGAAACTCCCAAACGAAAGGAAACAAAAAGTCAAAAACAGCAATTGACAAACGAACCATAGATGGAGGGACGTTGGATACATCTTATCTTCTATTCCATAATATATGTAGTGATTGGTTAAAGAAATACAACATTTAAGTTAAAATACAATCATTAAATATTTTCATGACTGATCATAATTCATAATATATAGAATCATACATGTAAACACATATTATGGACATAAAATGCAATGATTTAAAAACCGTGCCGTACCGGCCGGTTCAATCGGAAAACTGGTGAATCGGACCCCTAACCGATACGGTACGTACGTTATACCGCATATGCAATAGAACCGGTCAAAACCGGTCGGTTTGTACATTATTTTTTTTTTTTAAATTTCAAATTTTCAATTCTTCACCAATTCTTCAACTTCAATTATTGATATTTGGGTCATTTATTTGTATTTTGCGTTTGTTAAGTGATAATTTTGGATAAATATATGTTTTGTACTTTAGACTTTGATTTTATTAAAGACTTAATGTTGTTTGTTTGTGTGAATTTGAAGTAAATTATGAATATGGATTATAAATATGAATATCTACTTATTGAAATTTTTTGTTATAGGTTTACATATATATATATATATATATATATATATATATAAGCAAGTATGTCCGGTTTAACCGGCATGCGGTTTAATTACTGAACCACTGTACCACTATATCAGTACCCTAACCGGTTTGATAACGGGTACGGTTTTAATAACATTGATAAAATGTGTTCAAAAGGAGGTTATCTGTGGGGCCCACTTTCTCTCCTTCATAACCAATAACAACCATTCCCAATTTCCACACACCTTAATTTCCTTGCCGACAACGACTAAAATAGACTCCTAATATCCTTACGCCACCACCACAACCACCGCCATGTCGACGGCGGAGGCAGATTTAATAACATATTGGTGCCACGAATGCGATATGAGCGTAGCTCTCACTCCCTCTCAATCTCCTTCACCACTTCTTTGTCCCCATTG